GTTGTTATTCATTGGCCGGGACCTGCTAGAAGACTCTAGAAGGTGCCGGCCAATAGGAAACAGTTGGGCGGAGCTAGCTGTCACTGCTAGCTCCGCCCAATTGTGGGTTTTTTTCTTTTTAGAAAATCTTTATTTTTTTACATTTAATATTTATTTACATTTAAAAAAATATTTATTCAACCACGGAGGTACCGAGCAGAATAGCCGAGCCAAATGGGCGAACAGCAGCGAGTGAGCTGCCGGAGCTTTGGCTCAGCCGATCCAGATGTTGAATCGGCTGAGTCGAAGTCCTTCTGCACTTCGGCTCAGCCGAACATGCAGAGCATGTTTGGCTGACCGAAGTACAGCCGAACGCAGCCAATGTATGGCTGACTTCAGCCAATGTACGGCTGAAATCAGCCGTACTGGGCAGAAGTGAACTTCACTTCGGCTGGGTTATTCACTCGGCTGCCTTCGGCAGTGTTGTGAATAACCCCCATAATAAAAAAATTGCAGCCTGCAGTATTTTTTTTTTAACAGGTAAGTATTTATTGGTTTTAACACATATAACAAGGCACATACAATACAGAGAAAATGAAATAACATCATCTCAATACAGAATATCAGCAATTGTTACAAGACAATACAATAATGAAAAATAAAGAAAAAAACTACATATAAACTGAACAGACACTACCAAACTAAAGAAGGTGTGGATCGTTGGTCTCTTGTGTTTGCAGCACGGCCGATCCGACCAGTTGCTCCAGCCCTGCTACTAAGTAAAGGCTCCTGGGGAGGGGGGTCAAGGGAGAGGGAAGAAAGAGGGGGGGTCGAGGAGGGAGATACCAGAAGGGGGTAGGGGAACCAGGAGGGGTAAGGTAGGCGGGGAGGGGGAAAGAAAACTTCCCTTTGCCAGCCTGCAATATTTAATCCCAGTGAAATGGGCCATAACATATCCCCTGAAATATTTAGCTGCAAAATTATGTAAAAGGGATAACTTATCAACTAAAGATCAGCTGGGAGCACATATATTTCATATGCTCAAATCAAGGGTTGCAGAGGGGGAGCGTGAGGGCCGCATGTGGCCAATAAAAAAAAACAATTTGACATGTCTGATCTAGGGTATTCATTATAAAAAACATTGTTATGTGGCAATCAAAGTATACAGTTCATTCTTTGTAAGAGAAGAGTGGAAATAATTCACATTTCAGAAATGTCTGCGTTGTAAATCCTCAGTCTCAGCAGTTTCCTTCATACAGTAAAATTTCATGTCGATTTTTTGCAGCTTCTGACTCCCAGTATGGACATTAACCTTTATTTCTTCAGCAACCTCAGTGTTTTGCAAATAACATATAAGACTCAGTCCTATTAAACCATGTCAAGTGGGAAATGTTCTATATCCTCCCCGAACCACCACTCAGGTTCAGGTTTTTATACTCTGTAATTTTCCAGAGCCAGATTGAATCTGATTGGTGGCTGTGGGCAGCACAGAACAGTTCTTACAAGACACGTTATAAATGAGGCCAAGTAAGGTTAATGTACAGCAGTGAAGCTATAATGCTAATCAGTCTGGTACTGGAAATATCAGCTAGCATCGTAGGCCTAAGCTGGCCATACACTGCTCAAATTTTGACCGAACGCAAATTTAAGCAGTGCGAGGCTGTGGCTCCACCTGGCTTGAAGAAAGTTGATAATTCAATAGACCTCTGTTGAAGGCGCCAGGTAGAAAATTGTTGGCCGCACAGTAACTGCATCCAATCAGCGGCAGTCTCTGTTCCGGTATTTAGACGGCAGTGGGCGCCAGCTGTCCTCCATCCGCACTGTTTATCTTGGATGGAGGAATCTATTTGTTCAGCAATCTATAAGGCTGGGTTCACACCTAGGCGACAGCGTTTTTGCGCGGTTTTGACGCACCTCTTTTTTTATGCACGTTTTTTATGTGCATACATCAAATTGAGTGTTTTTGTGAGCAGATTGTAGCTCAGTGATGTTAATGAGCAACAGCGCATAAAACGTGTGAAAAAACGCACAAAAACACAGCAAACGCATGTTTTCAAGCGTTTCCTATTGGGTCTATGGGGCCAAAACGAGCTGTAATATGCCAAATAAAAAAAGCTCCTGTACTTTTTACAGCGACAGGAGTTTTGCTTTTATTGCAGCAAAGTTCTCATATATGAACAGGGCCATAGAAATGAATGGGGTTTTGGGGGGGGGGGGCATATTTTTTTAACGTGTTTTAGGGCAGAAATAGCACTACAAAACACTCAGTGTGAACCAGGCCTAAGAGAATGGGCGGCTTCACAATATACAGCAACAACTGTCACTAGATGTTATTATTTATATTACTTTACATTATTATATGGTACCCACAGTTTACAAAATGAAGTTAGACAGTACAGTTACAATCAAACTAATTACAGCAGGGTTAGCAGGGCCATGCTCATGAGCGCTTACATTCTGGAAAATATCCTTCTGTATCTTC